GGCAGCCCAACATATGCCCGCGCCCCCCCTCCCGCGGACCTGCACAACCGGCAAGGTTAGGTCATCCTGACGGGGGGGGTGACGGGGAGAAGCAAGCCCGATGACCCGGTTGATCGCCGGACCCCATAAAAACAGTCTCCTGCTCCTCGTGCCGGTGCTCTTCGTCCTCGTGCGCACCCCGCCCCGCGGTGCGCAGGAGGCACGGCCGTGAAGACTCCTCGCGCCCTCGGGCCGCCTCCGCGGGAGAGGGGCAGCCGCCCTGGCCCAGAACTGGGCGGGCGCAGCGAGATGAATCTTTGCGCCCCTGGGGGGGGGGGCCTAACCGCGATCGGAGGGAGCGCCTCTGAGACGAATCGAGTGCTGCGAAGGGTGTCCCTGGCCCAAGGCTTCTTCTTTTTTCTTTTCCGGACCGTCCTCCTTCAACGTCGGCGGCAGTGGCCGTAAGACTTCCTGGGAACCCCACGGCACACACCTCTCAGAGGTCGCTCGGCCGCGGCCCAGCGCCGTACACCAGGCGCAGGGCGGCCACGCGGCCCAGCGCCGGCGGTAGCGGCGGCGGCGGCCCAAGATTCAGCGGTGGACAAATCATCCTTTAGTAAACCTCCCTTTCGTGAAAACGGCCTGGGACCGAAACCAACGGACCTGGACCCGCAAAAACGACGGCCGCGACGCCCTCTCGCGAACGGAAAACGGCCAATTCGCTAATCGACGTGTCAGGGTAGGAGGTCTGTCAACCTCCGAAAGATACCCGCAAGACTCCCCGAGGGGCCCGGCAGGCCTCCAGAGCACCCCTTACAAGGCCCAGGGGAACCGAGAGGCTCCAGCAGAGCACGGAGGGCTACAGACATGTTGGGCCAGGACATCCTCTAGAGGCCTCCAGGATGGGATCCGAGTATACGGGGTCGGAGGAGCGCGCCGCATCGTCAATGCGCCGGCGATGCATAGTCGATGCATCGCTGGCGTCGGCGACGCATCGGCGACGCCAGCGTGGAGAACATCGAGCTCCGCATCAGCCGCATCGCCGATGCATTGGCGATGCGGCGCGATCCCCCGACCCCATCTGGGGAGACCAAGGGGTACCGCTACCGCCACTCCCCAGACATCTCCAGGGGCGCGTCGTGACCAGAATTCCGAGGCGAGTCCGACGGTGGCGACGAGGGCCTCCGAGGAGGCCCAGAGAGGCGAAAACAAGGCGAGGGCAGCGGCAACTGAGAGCGGTATGGATGGGCACCCTTTCCTCCCCTGGCCATCCTTGGGAGGCCTATTGGTGTTAACTTCCAGCACCACCCGCAAGAGAGAGAGAGAGAGAGAAAGAGACCAGACGAGGCGGGAAACTCAACCAGAACATCCCGCGTAGCGGCGGCTCCCCGGCGGGGGCGTCGCGCCCACGCCCTGCGCTAGGTTGGGCATGTCTTCCTGCAGGCGGATGTCGGATGATTTGTTCAACACAAGATAACACAAACACGCAAAAAACAAAAATAATAAAGAAGATGTCCCCTGACTTTGCTTTGACCAGTTTTGAGCTGTCCTCCTGTAGAAGGGGCACGCCCGACTTCAGCCTCGCGTGGTGCGGGTGCACGCCGTGGGCGCAACGCCCCATGGGTGGGTCTGGGCGTGGGCGTGGGTGGTCGCGTGGCCGTGGGTGTGGACGTGGACGTGGGCGTGGGCGCGTGCGTGGGTGCGGCTCTTGGTGTGCTGGGTCTGGGTGCGGGCTTTGGCGTGGGCGCGAGCGTGGGCGCGGGCGTGGCGGCCGCGGCCCCGCCCCGCTCGAGGGCGCGCGGCCTGCGCCTGCGCGCGCCCCGCGCTGGCCGAGCGCCACGTCCGCACCCAGAGCCCGCCGCCGTGCCCCCTCACGCAGGAACGCGCGCGCCGGGCAGACCACCGGCCACTAGGGCGTCCCCAGACCCCCTCGCGCTGTGACACAAAGCACGGCTGAGTCTCGTGCAACCGATCCCCATCCCCAGCGGCGTGGCCTGGGCCCCGCTGGCCGATTTGCCACCCCTGATGGGGATATAGGCCGTTCCCTTCGGGTTTCGAGGCGTGTATCCCCAACTGGGGTGGTAATTTGGTGGGGGTCTCGAAGGGGATGGGGATGGGGATGGGGATCGGTTAAACGATACCGAGCGACGGGAGGTTTTTCGCCATCGTTCGGGGACTGCCAGGACCCCCTTTAGCAGAACGTGGTTTAGCGACAACGACTTCGGGCCCAACTCTGGCGGGCGCAAGCTTGGAAAACCGACGGCCGCGGCGCCCTCTCGAGCACCGAAAACGGACAATTCACTAATCGACGTGTCAGGGTGGGGGGTCTGTCCACCCCCGAATTTTGGGCCTTTGGGGGCCCTTCCCGGGCCTCGCGAAGGTAAAAAAAAACGACTCGGGAGGAGAAAGCGGTCCCGGGGAAGGGGTCGAGACTTTGGTCGGGCATGTCCCCCTACAGGCCGATTGTGGGTGAAAAATTACAAAAATTGGAAAAAGACTCCAGAGTAGCCAACAAAACTTCTTAAAAAATCGTCCCCTGACTATTTTCTCAATTATTTTTGAATATTCCTCCTGTAGAGGGACAGGCCCGACTGAAGTCGAGACCTCTGGGGGTCGACGCTGCGAAAACATCACGACGTCGGAGGCCTGGGCACGCGGCAGGTCCGCAGCGTGACGACCCCAGCGGTGGCTTGTTGAAGCCTTGGAGCTGAGCCGTGCGGTCCTCACGCTGTGCTTGGGTCGGGCACGTCCCCCTGCAGGCGGATTTGGGACGAAGACTTAAACATGTGCACCACAAATGTTCCAAAGATTCGAAGATAGTCCCAAACTCGTCCCCAGACGAATTCTGGAGCATGTTTGAACGTTCCCCCTGTACAGTCAAAAACCCTGATAAGGACGCGCGGTCAGGACGCAAGACCCTTGGAAGCCGCAGTTGGGATTTCTGGGGGCGGCGGACGACGCAAACCCCGAGGTCGCAAGAGCAAGGAAGCGCAAGGACGCAACGGGCACCCTGAGCAAGGAAGAGCAGGGAGGAGCAGGGAAGAGCAGGGACCCAAGGACGCAGGGGTACCCTGAGCATGGACGCAAAAGGGCAAGGGAGAGCAAAGTCGCGCGTCCTCACTAGCGTTCTCGACTGCAGGGGGACGGGCCCGACTGGACGCTGTGCAGCGAAAGAGAGGGGGCGCCGAGCGGGCCGCCCGAGCGCGGCCTGCCTCCTCGGCCGGGTTTCCGGGCTCTCTCTCCCTTGGCCTCGGTCGGAGGAGCGGCCCGGAGGCCCGAGGCCGAGGTCGAGAGGGCCGTCAAGATGGAAGTCGGGCGTGCCCCCTCTGCAGGGGGGATTTTCGACGAGAACTAAAACATAGTCCACAAAGATACTCCAACATGGCAAACCATCGTCAAAGCATCGTCCCTGGACCACTGTTGGGACTGATTCTGAACAGTCCCCCTGCAGAGGGACAGGCCCGACTTGAGTCAAGATTCGTGTTCCAACCGACTTTTTAGTCGGGTTGACCCACAAGGGGGTCCAGCGACAAAGGGGTGGTGCGATAGATTTGGTGGGTTGCAATACATCTGGGGCGTGCAGTACATGCCGGGGCGCGAATGCATTGCTAGACTTTCGCGTGCAGGACATTACTTGCCATACAAGGCAGCACAATTCCCCGGCGCAGTACATTTGTTGCAATACAATTGCCCGAAATCTATTGCACCACCCCCTTTCAGCTGGACCCCCGTTTGGGTCACCCAAATTTAGCCTGGACCACCAGGAAGAATTTCGAGCACCAAGAAAGTATCAAGAGTGGTGGGTTTTCACGTGAGGGGCCCTGGGAGGCGATACTCGTTCGACACTGTTTCGATACTTTTCTGGGTGCTCGAGGTTATTTCTGGGGTGTGGTCCTTAAGTACGATGGGAGCAACATAACCCCAAGAGAATTCAGAACAGGAGTCCACGCGGAGCAGCAGGAAAGGCTGGAAAGTTTGGAGCGTATGCTTGTCGTGGCTTGGCTCCCTTGGCACAGGCACATGACAGCAATGAACATCCGGAGCCCGAGACCTCCGAAAGCATGATCTGTTCAAAACGTGGCCTGGATTTCACCCGGACAAAATGTTCCTCCCGTGGTGATTTGACGATCCCAGCGCCTGGCACAGGCCCCCGCAAGCCTAAAACTCCAGTCGTTGATTAGCGACGAGAGGACCCCGAATCCTTTGGCAGGCGACCTAAGTTAGGAGGGCCTGGAACATTAGGGATGAAGGGGCATTTTCTGCAGATGTTGCGGGCCAAGCCGCCCAGATGTGTTATCCCTAGTGCGGAGACGGGGGCCTCAGCGAGGCCAGGTCTCCATCATGCTGTTCGGGGCAGGGGCTCTCTTTTCTGGCCATCGACCGGACGTCCATTTCCTGTGTTTTTGTTTCGGTTTCGTGCGTGGCTTTTCTGCGAAATGATCAAGGATGCTCCTCGATGGCCCTCGCCGAAGGAAAAATGCACACGTCCGAGCGATGCCAAATTTTTATCCTCAATGAGTTGTGGGGTTCTCCACAGCGCGGAGCAAGCCGGGGGCCGCCCTTACGGCTGCGCTTCCCTTGGCCTCGGGCCTCGGCCTCGGCCGGGCCCTGCCGGGCCGTCTTGCCTGGCGCCCGCGCCGCGTCCCCCCTGCAAGCTCCGCCTCCACCCTTCCGCCCCGCCGCACCCCCCCCCGGTCGCACTCCAAACCTACAGTCGAGGCGTTGACCTAAGGAACCCTTAATAAGGAGCGAGACCCCTTTTTTCCATAAGTTAAACTTCGATATCCCATGGGAAACTTAAGGAACATCTTAGGCAAGCTGCGAAACAAATAAGGAATACCGAGCCCCTCCCCAACGAAAAGGGTTCTTTCTTCAGCGCCCCGATTGTACTGTTCCCCACTCCTGTGGCGGCGGAACGGGCGGGAAGGAATTTGGGGAGGAGGAAGCAGCCACCGCGGGCGACCCTGGCGAAGCCCGGGGCGACAGCGGCCAGCAGAACCGCCAGCCAACCCAACTTCTTTTCACCTCTTGCCTGTCCCGCATGCGCCGCTGTCTTTCTCCCCACCTCGTGCCTGCACCTCTTGTTCTGGCCAAGTAGAGTCTCAGCCTCAATCCCTGCCACGCGCGTGTGCCTACGGCTCTTGTTGCCTGCCGCCAGCTCCTGTCCAACCAGCGCATCTTGCCTGTCTACAGCCAGCTACTGATGGGGCCGGGGCGTGTGATTTTGTTCGGGGGCACTGAGGGACGCAATCGACGGTGGCCGCCAGGGCGCCCGCCAAGGCGGCCACGGTCCGCAGCGCCGCAGGCGACCGAGCTGTGCATGCCACCCTCCCCGGAGCGCGGAGAGGTCCGCTCGGGGCCAGCGGCCAAGGCGCAGGAGGAGCAACGAGGCCCGAGCAGGAGCAGGAGGAAGAGGAGGAGGAGGAGGAGGAGGAGGAGGAGGAGGGAATGGGAATGGGAATGGGAATGGGAATGGGAATAGGAATGATGCTGGGCGCCGAAGTCGCCTGCCGCCGCAGCGGCCAGAAGGAGGAGGAGCAGGAGGAGGAGCAGGAGTATGAGGCCGGAGGAGGAGGAGGAGGAGGAGCAACACCTGAGCGACGATCCCAAAACGGGCCTTGCGCGAGATGGCGCAGCGACCCCAAGCCGCAGCTCACGCGGGCCGAAGGCGGCGCGGCGCGCTGCAGGGGAGACGAAGGCGCTTACGCGCGACCTTGCGCGGGCAGCTTACACGCCAATGTCGGCGAAGACGACCCCGTTTTCGCTCCCTCGCTCATTTTGACGCCCGTCTACACGCCGCGGCAGACAGGCGCTGCCAGCAAGCAACGGAGAACAACAAAAAGCAGGGGCTAGGCACCTCTGGTCTGCACAGGTAGAGCAGGGGCCCAGGTCGAGCGGATTCAGGCGCCCGTTCCCCCCAATTCCATTACGCCGACCTACCTTGCGCAAGTCTTTTTTTTGTTTCTCTCTCTCTCTCGTTCTCTCTCTTTCTCTCTCTCCCTCTCTCTTTCTGCTCTCTCTCTCTCTCTCTCTCTCTCTCTCTCCCGCCCAACTGATCCCTCCACCACCCACTTCGCACCCCCACCTTTGCAGCCACCCCTCTTCAGCTGTCCCCAGCTGCCAAGCGTCCCCGAGCCCGCCCCAAAGCCCCCCCCCCACCCCCCTCGCTCTTGCTCCTCTGCCACCTCCTCCTGCCTCCATCGGCCCCCCAATTTCCCGTCTCACCATCCTCCCCTCGACGCCTCCCTCCCCTGAGGCATCCCTCCTCACCCCGCTGGGCATCCTCTGTCGAGACCACGGCGGCTCTTTCGCTGGGCCCCAAACCGCTCAGAATCGGGCCCAAGACCACGCCCTGGGTCCATCCTTACCCTTTCCCCGAGACCACGAGGCAGACCCAGCCGTGGCCAAGAGAAACCTCCCTGGAGGCCCGCAACAGGGAGACGAAACACGCAAGCATCGCGGTTGCTTCGGCTGGTTCTCCAACGACACCACCGCAGGCCAGGGCCCTGGGACAGTGCACGCGACCGTCCTGGCCTCAACCTGGACGGACTGCACACCGCCCATTGAGGCCCAGCCTGGCCCGACGCCGGGGTCGACGGCAGTTCGTGATGCTACCCTTGTGAGACGACCCCGACAGTCTCGCGTCGTGGAACCATCGTGACGGAAGGCTTCGGCGAAGATGCACAATGTGGGAGCCCTTTCGGGAGCCCTTGCCGTGCCCAGACCCGTCAAAGAACAACTCGGGATGAGAAGGCGGGCCCCAGGAATGGGCTCAGGCCTTTGCGAACAACAAACACAAGCAAGACGACCACAAGCACAACAGTTCGTGTCGTGCAATGTGCGAAAAATCAACGCCCGTGGCGTGCCTCCTCAAAGCCTCGCAGATTGCCAACGACACTGCTGCCCCCATCACTCTTATCCGCAACAGCGGAGGTAATGGTGCATATGTATATAAATATACGGCGAAATCGGAAACCATGAGCCCAAAAACGTTTTCATCTCTCGGGGGCACAAGGTTTACTTTTCCGCCGGCTCCCGCCGGCGGAGGCGGCCTCGTTTTACTTCCGCGGACTCCGAGGCGGAAGAGCTGACAACTCCTTTGATCCTCGAAGGCAAAAACCTTGTTGGAACGCCCCGTTGATATACATGTATATGTATACATATACACACTTATATATAACCATAAAACATACTACATCATATAAATATATAATTTCGCCGGCCCAACGGGCCAGAGGCGTGCTAAGATCTCCGGTAACTACTTAACAATATTTCTAGTTCGCGCGCGCGGGGCGGCCCCTGGGTGCCCCCGGACGAAAAGTACCCCGGCTGATCCCCGGCCGGGTCCCGGGCGATCCCCAGGGGGGAAGCTATTTTTCGCCACCTCTCACGAGGATCGTGGCCTCCGAGGGGGTGCCTCCCGCCCCAAGGGGTCCCCAAGAGCCCCCCAAGAGGCCCCAGGAGAGCCCAAGACGCCGCCAAGGAGCCCCGAAACGCCCCCAAGAAGCCCCCAAGAGGCCCCCAAGACGGCCCCAAGAGGCCCCAAATAGCGCTCCAGGGACGGCGGAATGAGCGAAGCGATTAAATAAATACCACCCCCCCGGCCCCGGTCCCACACCTCCCCGCCACATCTCGGGAACACTCCCGGTACCGCTCCCCCGTCATTTCTGGGGAGCCTCCACAGCGCTCCAGGAGGGCCGAAGACCCCTCCCAGGAGCCACCACAACGCGAAAGGATGGCCCAAGCCGCTCACAAGCAGCCCAAGTCAGCCTTCCGACAGCTCTCGAGGCTCCCAGGTGGCCTCCAAGAGACCCCGAGAGAGGTTCGAGATTCGTCCCAGGACGGCCCGAAGAGGCCAACATCGTAGATGTTCATTTGTTGTTTCTATGTTTTTGGCGTCTCGCGTTTTCGTCCGACGGTCCAAGAGCGCCGAAGAGGCTCCCAAGACCGCCCCAATACCACCCAAGAGACCCTCAGGACGGCCCCGAGACGGGCCAAGAAGGCTCCAAGACTGCCGAAGAGGCGCCCCGGACAGCCCCAGACCACCCCAGAACAGTCCCAAGATGGGCCCAAGAGCGGGGCCTGGAGGCTTCCAGAGACCTCCGAGAGGCCTCCGGGACCACCCAGAAGCCCCCGATCCCTGAAAGGCCCCCCAAAAAGACTCCGACAAGGCTCGAAGAACAGCCCAAGCGAGCTGCGAGAGCCGTCCCGAGAGAACCCATAGAGGGTAAAATCTTTGATTTCCAATGGTTTTTCTGAAGTGTTTCGCCTTCTCACGTGTTCCCGCTTCCAACCCTCGAAGATCAAGGATTTTGATAAAGAGAATTCCCAGAATTCCCTCTTTTTTTCAAAGTGGGACTCCTACTCGGAGATCCCACACATGCCCTGACATCTGGCCAGTACCGCGCCTCCTGGCTTCCGGGGGGGCCCCAAAGACGCTGAAAGACAGCCCATGACGACCCCAAGGAGCCCCCAGAACGTAAAGAACGGCCCAACACGCTCCCGCGAAGCCCGAGACATCCTTCCGACGGCTCTCCAAGCCTCCAAGAGGCCTCCGGAACCCCCAGGGGGTCCGGAAGATCCCACACCCCTGAGGGGCCCGGCTAACAAAACCCGCGAGGCACAACCAAAAAACAGCGCCGAGCAACTGGAAAAGCATGGAAATCCCACAGCCTTTGAGGGCCCCCAACCGCTGAATACCTGACGGAAATGAATGGTTTCTGCGTTGGCGCGCTTCCCCTCCTGTACGACTCCGAGGCCTGCGCATGGCCTCCAAGGGAGTCCCTGGACGCAAGAGAAGCGACCAACATGAGATCACATGAGTTAGCCCATCAAACCCAGCTAGAATTTGAGCGCGCGGGGAGCGCGCGATGATTCTAGCTACATCTATGTATATATAACATGTGTGTACTTGCATACATACATCTACATACACATAACAATATCTGCTATGCTCTAATACAACAAAGACGATATTTCGACTCTCTTGACTCGTTTCAGCATGTATTGACTACGACAGTTCTACTGCATACATATGTATAACGATATATGTGTATACTTACATATATACACGCTCCCAAGCGGTGTTTGTCCTTAGGGGTTCTTACGTCTCTTCTCGGGAACTGGGCCTGGGGGCCGCTCTGGCCACCATGGAGCCGCAGTCGCCGCCTCGTCGCCGACCGTCGCCGCCCGTCGCCCGGGCCTGCGGGCGCTCTGGCCGCCCTGCCCCTCGTCGCCGACCCCTCGTCGCCCGGGCCTGCGGGCGCTCTGGCCGCCCTGCCCCTCGTCGCCGACCCCTCGTCGCCTCGTCGCCGCCCTCTTCGCAGTGCGCTGCCTTGCTTGGGATTCCTCTGCGGTGCATGACACTGCTTAGAGCCGTCCAACTTTGTGCTGCCTTGCGCTGCGTTGCCTTGGACTGTGCCGCGTGAGCCTGCACTGGTTTGCATGGCCCGGCATTGGAGTACAGTGGCTCATCTATAGCTTTCGTTGCGTTGCGGGGCGCTGTTTTGCATTGATGTGAATTGCGTTGCGTGCGCCGTATAGCTTACACCACATACTTCATGTATACACCAGAATCAAGCGCGTGCTTCGCGCTTGCGTGGATTCTAGCTCGCCCTGGCCCGTCAGCAACACAGGACATGATTGAACAGTCCGCGAGTGTATTGAACACGCTTGACGCCATCAGCGGACACCAGAAACAGCGCCTCTTCTGCCTCCGCATCCTCCTTCTCCCCTACCTCGTACTCTTCCTCGGCCTCCTCCGCGTCCTCCTCATCTTCCTGCTGCCCCGCCTCCTCCATGGAGCGGCTCCCAGGCCTCCCTATGTCGTCCTTCTGGGCCTGGCCCTCCTGCCATCTCCTCCGCACCCTCGCCCCCGTCATCGCCCTCCTGCCCGACGTCGCCCTTATACTCCAGGGGTATACGACACTACTCGTGCCCCGAACGTGGTGCACCTGGCGCGGCTAGAGTACTCCGGATTCCATAATAAAGTCTGGGGGGTCACATTTGTGGGGGTCTGATTTGAACTGTCTTGGAGGGTTCGGGGGGGTCTGGGCAAAGAGCCGCCCTTTCATGGATGGTCTGGGAGGGTCTAAAACTTCTCGTCTGGGAGGGTTGAAACCCCCTCCCTTTTATTACGAAATCTAGAGTATATGGTACACCTGGCGCTCGTGCAGCACTCAACGCATCTGGCGCACCAGAAATGCCTGGCACGCTCGGGCCCCAGGAGTGCCAGGCGCGCGTGGCGCGCCTGGCACGCGTGGCGCGCCTCGCCCCGGCATCGCGCACCTGGGGTCGAGTTTGGTTCCCAGCAGCCGTCAGACCAAAGACGACCGCTGACTATCCCGAGGCTCGGGCGGACGGGCGGGAGTGAGCTGGACGGCTTGCCATCTAGGAGGGCACCTCGATCACTGTTCCCTATTAATATACACCCCCTCCCCCAAGCGACTGGGAGCCAACCCAGGTCTATGAGGGCCCGCCCCCCACCATCCCTTGTCAAAAACAATGCAAAACACACTCTGCCCCCACCATCCCGTGTAATTTTGTTTACCATGCAAAACACACTCTGTCTCCAAATTCGGAACATGCGCAGCGAACCCGATGCGGTCTCCCCCCCATCCCCGTCAAAAACCGGAGCAGAGTACACTTCGCGGCGGCTGCGGCTGCGGCGGCTGCGGGGGCGGCGGCGGCGGCGGGGGCTGCGGCGGTGGCGGCGGCGGGGGCGGCGGCGGCGGCGGGGCCGGCGGCGGCGGCGGCGGCGGCGGCGGTGGCAGCGGTGGCGGCAGCGACTGCGGCGGCAGCGGCTGCGGCGGCGGCGACTTGGCAGCGGCGGCGGCGGCGGCGGCGGCGGCGGCGGCGCGGTGGCGGCGGCGGCGGCGGCGGCGGCGGACAGCGGCGGCGGCGGCGGCGGCGCGGCAGCGGCGGCGGCGGGGGGATTCGCCCCCAGTAGCTGCCCATCCAAAGACGAATGCTGCATGGCTGTGGCTCGGGTCAGGCTCGGGTGCTACGTATGTGTTGGGAGGGCGGGTGGGAAGGAGCGAAACGGCTTGCGGGCGGGGCGGGCGTCTCGACCCCTCCCCCCACCCCCTCCCCCGAACCTGGGAGGGGGGGGGTTCGCGAGCCGATTGAGCGTTCAAGATGGCCCAGGATGGCTTCAAGAGGGCATCACAAAGCACAACATGACCTCCAAAATGGCTCACCATAGCCTATGACGGCTCCGGATGGCTCCCCCGACATGCTTCGAGACGCCCCAAGACCAGTCCAAGACGGCTCCAAGTGGCCACGGAGCCTTCACAGGAGGCCGCCAAGAGGCCCAAATCCTTCAAGAAACGCAAGACAATCAAGCTCTCTCGAACGTTTGCTTTCGATGGCCTTCCGAAGCCTCCAGATGGCTCCAAGAGGGCCCATGAGGGCTCCAAGAGAGGCCCAAGACAGCCCCAAGGCGGCCCCAAGAGCGCGCCAAGAAGGGTTCGAGAGGGGTCCAAGAGACGAATTTAAGCACTCTAGAAAGGCAGGGCTAATTAACGACGCCCCTTGTTTGAGCGATCGCCTCCAAGATGGCTCCAAGAGCGCCCCAAAGGCTCCCAAGAGCGCCCCAAGAGGGTCCCAAGAGGCGCTAAGGAGGACCCAAGATGCCCCCAAGAGACTCACAAGAGATCCCCAAGAGGCCCCAAGATGCTCCCCGAGGCACCCAAGACGCTCTAAGAGGCGCCAGGGACCGCCCAAAGGCCCCCAGGACGCTCCAATAGCCCCCGGGGCTCGCCATCTTCCTCTTCCGCTTCCTCGTCTTCTCCTCCTCCGCCTTATCCGCCTCTTCCTCGTCCTCTCTTCTTCCTTTTCTTTCTCCTCCTCCTCGTCCTCCTCCGATCCCTCCTCCCTCCTCCCCCTCTTGGTATACGACGGTTTGACCAGATCTGTGTTAGGCATCGTTTCTGGATGGGCTGGTGGGGATATGTTTTTGTTACCAGCCGCAGGCGAGCGCGCCGACAGCGTGTCAACGTCCGAGCGGGCCGCGCGAGGTCCTCAATTACCTCGCACAAACAGGCGTACCGCCGCAACTCAGGCCGAGACCAGGAAGTGGCCGAGGGGGAGGGGGCAAGGCAAACAGGTGGGGATATTTGTTCGATCGCGTCCACCAGCGAAGACGCAAGCGGAGTCAGAAGCGCTCCGGGACACGGAAGCGGCCTAATTAGCGAAACAGGTGGGGATGCGCGAAGCGTCGATAATGCCGAGCTAAGCGAACATGAGGAGGTTGTGAGGAATGATTCGGAGAACGGCCCCAGAAGTATCAGCGACGTGGACGGGGAAAAGAAAACCAAGGTCGCCTTCTGACTCAGGATGCGAGAAAATTCTGCGGCCCCTCAGGTTCGCTGGCAGATACTATTGCGCAGCTCGAGACGGAGAGACCAAACCTGAATGATGCTCTTCTACAGACCTGAAGAAGAACAAACAAACATCGCACATGAAGGTTGGCAGTATCGAGAGTTGGGTTGCAACAGCAGTCCTGAGTCGGGCGTGCCCTCCTACAGGCGGAGCTTGGACGAAAAATAAAAATAGCCAACAAAGGCTCAACAATAGTCAAACATAGTCGAAACATCGTCTCGCGATATCTTCCTATGTAAAAAATATTCCTCCTGTAGAGGGACACGGCCCGTTTTTTAGAGGAGCAGGAGATGGAAGTGGACAACGATGATATACACGACTCATGAACGACTCATGTACGTCGCAAGGCCAAGGATTCGGGCAAAGAAAAGCGGGTACGGGCCTCGCCACACTTGCGATGCTGCTCACTGTAGGCGCCGGCTCCCCTGCCGAATTTAAGCCTATATCGAAGCATGGACGACAAGTAAAAATAGTCAACAAAGGCTCAACAATAGTCAAACATAGTCGAAGCATCGTCCCCCGATATCTTCCTAAATATTCCTCCTGTAGAGGGACACGGCCCATGTTAAGAATATATCGAAGTGCCCGAGCCAACGCTGGAGGGGGGGGGGGTCCTTGGGGGGAGGCCTCGACGCCCCGGCGCCCCGCGCACTCGCCGGCCCTGGCATGGTTGGTTTGCCTGTGCTCGCCTGGGCTTGGGCCTCTTGAGGGCCTCCTCCTCCTCCTCCTCCTCCTCCTCCTCCTCCTCCTCCTCCTTGAGGGCCTCCGCCCAGGGGACCCTTGCCAGCTCGGCTGGGAAGGGTCGACGCTGCTGGCGCACACGCGGGCCGAAGGCAAGGGGGTCTCTGAGGCTGCCGCTCGGGACGCGACGTCGGGTGCATCATGCGCCTCTCCAGTGCTTGAAGATAGCCGGTGTCCAAAAGACCCCTATCAGCTCTGCCTGTTGTGAGGAAAAAATGAAGGGGCCCTCTATAACACACAAATAACAGGATTCCCCATATTTACACATATTTTCTGGGTTTTTGTCTTCCCCCCCACTTCCCATATGTTCCCATATTTTCTGGGGAATCGACGATGGATTGTGTCTGTGTTTTTCCCCCTTCTGAAAAAAAGTGTGCGCGTCTTCGTCGGCGCTGCTCATCATCAAGCGCTGCGCGCTCGGCCTCTCTCGGGTCGGGCGAAAGGGGGGATAGCAAAGGGGGGTTTGAGAATCAGCTCACGTAGCTGATTTTCCCCGCGCCTCCCGGCGCCGGAGGCGGCTATGTATCGAGGACGGGGCCCCTCGGTGAGGCCGAAACCAGCTGCATGCAGCAGATTTCGTACCCCCCCCCCTTTCCCAATCCCCCCCCTTCGCCCGGCCCGACTCTCTGCAGCCTCCCCGGCGCCTCTCTGGGCACTCGGCCGGTCCCCCTCCAGGGCTCCCCCCGGCTCCTCCCCGAGCCTGGCTCCTGGAGTAGATGGTCTGTGCAACCATGATTTTTTCTCCCGATAACACCCGATACCAGCCCCGCCACGATCTTTTTGAAGGGGCCCAAGGACACGCAAATAAATACACACAAATAGAAATAGTCCCCGTATTTTCCCATGTCTTTTGGGTTTGCGTCTTCCCCCCCACTTCCCATATTCTCCTATATTTTCCCGGGGATCGACGATTCATTGTGTCTGTGTATTTGTTCCTCCTGACTTTTACTCACTGCTGGTAACGCGTCTCGGTACGTCCGCGCCAGCGCCGTCTGCAGAGGCTTCCTGAGTGGGGTCCGAGCAGAGGGGGCGGGAAGATCTCGCCACATCGCCGATACGTCGGCGATACATCGCCGATGCATCGGCGATACATCGGCGATGCACTGGCGACGCCGGAGATGCATCGGCGACGTCGGCGTGGAGAAAATTGGGTCCCACATCGAGCCGCATCGCCGGTACATCGCCGCTGCATCGACAAGGCGGTGCGATCCTCCGACCCCATCTACTCCGACCCCATCTGGGAGGCCTAGGGTCTGGAACACGGCACCAGCGCGAGTCGATACCTTCCTGGCCCCCTCCCCCTTGCCCCCCCCCACACATCTGGTCGCGCCCGTCGTGGCCAGGGCGCCGAGAGTGCACGTGTGGGCGACCAGAGGGCTTCATCGTCGCCCTGGCGGGGTGCACGGTTTCCCCCAGGTTCGTAGGCGACCCGAGGAGGAGGAGGAGGAGGAGGAGGAGGAGGAGGAGGAGGAGGAGGAGGAGGAGATGATGGAGGAGGAGGAGGAGGAGGAGGAGGAGGAGGAGGAGGAGGGCGAGGAGGAGGAAGAGGAGATGGAGGAGGAGGAGGAGGAGGAGGAGGAGGAGGAGGAGGAGGAGGACGGGTCGCCTAAGCCCTTCGGAGAAACCCTCCAGGGCGGGGTCCACCTCGAAGAGCAGGCCAGGATGGACTCTGGGAGGGGTCCCGACACCTGTCTCGAGCGGATTTGGACATGGCGGAGAAACTGCGGTCCCAAAAACTCCGACGTCGTGTCCTTCTCATACCGTGGGCCCCCGACTGCTGGACGTTTTCCCTTGGATCGGCTTTTCATCGCGAGATTTCTGTTGTTTCCATCGTACTTAATGACCACATCCCAAAAATAATTGCGAGCACCCAGGAAAGTATCAAAACAGTCTCAAACGAATATCGCCTCCCAGGGCCCGACACGTGAAAACCCCCAAGCCTCGGTACTCTTCGTGGTGCTCGAAAATAAGTATGGTGATCACGGTCCAGCGGCCCAGTCGGGGCCTCAAATAGCCAAAAGCAGCGCAAGACCTTCTGTCGTGATTCTTCACCATGGCGAGGGGTCCGGCTTTCGGTGCGTGCTTGACTCCGGCCTCCGGCGGCCGTCTGGGACGTTACGGGCATCCCTGGAAAGTCGTCGACGAGGCGCAGCTGGTGGAAAGCATTGCGAGGCGAGCAATCCTACGAGGTACCTTCAAACACCCCGAAGGACAACACCAGACAGACCGACAGCACCAACACACCAGATTCTGGGTGAGGGAAAATATTCCGATACCGCCGCTCCCATGGACATCTCCGAGGGGTGCGACCTCCTGGGAGAATGCAGCCGCCTTGGCTACGAGGCTCCCTGGCGAGCAGCGGCATCTTGATCTCTTCCTCCTCTGGGGCCCAACATGTGAAGGATGACTCGCACCAGAAGGATCCCATACCCCTTTGGGAGGGGACCTAAGTTAGGCGGGCCAACAAGGCATTCGAGATACGGGGGTCCTCTCTGCGGAGGTCTGGAACCAAACCGCACAGCATTATGATCCCCACCCAGTGCAAAGACGGGGACCCAAGTGAGGCTACGTCTTCACCGTGTTCTTAGGGTCATGGATCCTTTTATGCTCAATAAGTAGAGTCCACCCAGAGCCCGGGCTGGCACGGCACCGCGGCGGGACACTGAGCGCGCTCGGTGCTGCCGCCTGGCGATGCATGCGGGCGCGGCATCAGGTCTGCTCACGCTGGCGCTTGGCCTCTGCATGGGGGGGCGAGTAAGGGGCAAGCGAAAAATGAAAGAGGACATGGGCGAGAAGCACCGTTGGAACTCGACCACCAGAAACCTTCCACACGAAACCCGACCTTGGGCCCCCAGGGCGTCAACTGATTTCTGCTGTGGGAGCGTCACGCAGTTCGTGGCAAAACCATCGAAACCCAAGAAAGCCAAGGTACCCTGGAGGAAAGCAGGGTGTTTCTTGGCATAGGCTTCCACTGTAATGCCAGTCCCCCGCAATTGGGGACGCGGGTGAGGGGGCGGCGGGACCGTGGAAACTCCGCGAGGCTCGGCGGGCGCCGAACTCTCGTCGAAGCAAGATGTGACGGGTCGCGAAAGCGTCGCGAGAGGGACACGGGCAGGTCGCGGGTGGTTCCTCAAGAAGCAGTCGTAGCAGTCGCAGTAGTAATACTATTACTAGCAGTGCTCGAGCGGCGCCCGTGGCGGGGACGCGGCGAGCACCCCCCGCGAACGGGCGGGCGGTGGTCGGCGCCGGCCGTCGCGTTGCACAGCGATGCGCTGCGCTGCGGTGGCGTGGCGTTGCGCGCGTGCTGCTTTTCATTACTTGTACCTCTCGGCGTCTACGTGTCGAAGTCTGATCTGGCGTAGTGGATGTATGTTGAGGGGCAACGATAGGGGGGGATAGGCAGAAGGGGGTATGCATCGACCTGGAATCGACGATACATCGTCGATAGATCGGCGATAGGCCTCCGATAGTGAATCCGCACCTTCCTGGGGGGGTCGGGCAACCCGGTCCCTCGCGGCGATCAAGGGCGATTGGGGGTCGATGATCCCCCCCCGTGCCTTTTCCCCCCGTGTCGATGCCCCCGACACGTGCCATTTGGAGAGGAAAGATGACGGAGCGAAGAGTACCAGCGCACGAGGCGCACAAGTGATCGTTTGGCGAGCAGCGCTTGTCCAAGTCCACGGGTAAGCGCACGAGCCCCGCACAGGGCGCACAAGGCCCCACGCAAAGGGCCTCCGCGCAAGACTCGCGCGAGTACTCGTTCAACTGGCTACACGATGTGTGTTCAACATGCTGTAACGCTTGAAATACTGCTTTCGCACAGGAGGGCTATAACGGACCTTGAAGCCTGAATTCTAAGGCAGGAACTCCACCCCGACAATAACCACCCCGACACGCGAAGCCGTTCAGTAAACGCACGCAACGGAAGAATCAGACAGGGCAAAGCTGTGTAGTGGGCGCCCAGGGCCGTTTAGACAACGCCAGTTGCCTCGTCTGGGTGGCTCTGCCTCCCTTGCTTAATCTACGACTTGGCCACGTATCGCGCGTCGAACGCTCACGCCAGCAAGCGAGGGCCCTGGCTTTCACAGCCCCAGGTTTTGTGGGCCCCGGAAACGGCAGGGCCGTTTTTTCACCGCTTCCAAAAAATGTCCATTGAAAATGGAAACGGCCAAAAAAAGGCGACCAAAAACGGCGAAAAAACGGCCCCAGGATTGGAACCGGAGCCGGAACCGGTCACAAAACGGCGACGGAACCGGTACAAACACGGCGTCGGAACCAGCAAAAAAAACGGCAAAACGGAACCGGTAAAAAAACGGCCCTGTCGTTTCCAGGGCCCACTAAGGGTGAGGGCCCCCGGATACCGAACGCGTCCGAACCTCCAGGCGTGCTATTTCACGACGCGCACACTTCTCACTGCACCGACCTTGCAGACGTGCTGCGTGGCTTTCTGCCAGTGCAGAGCCCCGAAACGGCGAGTGAAGAACGAAGTGGATTTCGCGTGGGTTCTTGTGTAGTCTTCATTCCTGGCAACAGCAAAACTCCGCACGAAATTCACCTTGAAATCCGGAACGAATCTGTCCAAGATGGGCCATTGTTTTCCGGACGAAATCCGCTCTGCGATGTTGGCGCCATGACATCTCTGGGAAGGTGATTCACAAAGATTCATGGCGACGCGTCCCTGTGGGGCCCCGCCGAACCAGGCGGCCCAGGCCTCTCGTCACCGGCGAGATCATCTTCGGCAGCTTCGGCGTGGGTGGCCTGGGCTGCGGTCCAATGCAGCGTCGGCGGCGGCAGCGTTCTGAGGCTCTTGGACGCTTTTGGCGCCTCGTGTGTCTCCCTGTCGGGTTGTGCCAAATCAAACGTCCGGCGGATTGATGGTTTCAGAGCGGACCCCTTGCGAACAAAGACGGCTCCGGGGAGGTCGAGGAATCGCGGGTCCGCTTGCTTCAGAAATCACATCTCGCCGGATGCCTTGGAAGGTATCCCTGGCCCAAGGTAAACGGGGGAATTATGTCATGTTCTCTTTGGGGGGCCACGGGGAGCAGGAGAAGACCCCGCGTCTCGGAGGAAGAACCCACGCCGATCGCCGCTGTCGCCGATCGGCAGCAGCGTGGCGACGGGTGAGCTCCACCCGCCACTGAGGCTGCACAAGCCGTTTCGGGACGATCACCGGGCGTGAGCTCGCCATCGCTCGGACGTCCATTCCCTGTGCTTTTTTCCTGTTTCGTGCGTGGCTTTTCGCCAAATGATCAAGGGTGCTCCTCGATGGTCCTCGCCGAAGGAAAAATGCACACGTCCGAGCGATGCCAAGTGAGCAGGAAACGACTGCAGGAACAGAAACGTCTGGCATCCCTGGCGGATTTGACTCGGCGCCAGGCCCCCCCCTCCCTGGCGCGCGGAGCGCGTGCCACGCGGGGCAGGGGGAGGGCGCTATAGAGGCGCCGCCAGGGGGGACCCGGCGCAGAGCAGAGAGATCCGCGCGGATGGTGATATTGTTGCTACTCATCCAGCAGGGGGAAGGAGCAAGAGGAGCTCCGTCCGGCTCGAGAAGGTCACGCGGCCCGACACGAGGCAGGAGCGCCTGTTGTGGAAATTATCCCAGTGCGACCCTACCTAGGAGTTGGAGCATCTAGGAAAGTAACATCTACATCTACACCGACAGCTACATTAACATCTACACCTGCATCTACATCTACATCAACATCAGCAGGGAAACTCACATCTACATCTACATCCACACCTACACCTACACCTACATCTACATCTACATATACATCTACACCTATATCCACATCTACACCTACACCTACATCTACATCTACATCTACAAGTACGCATTCGTTGTGATGTTGCTTCGCATGCTATTCTATGATATGCTAAGATATGCTATGCTATGATATGATATGCTATATTATGATATGATTGGCTATGCTATGCTATGCTATGCTATGCTGTGCTAATGCTGCGCTGCGCTATGCTGCGATGCGCTAAGCTAAGCTAAGGTAAGCTAACCTATGATTCGCTATGATATGCGATGCTATGCTATGCTGCGCCATGTTATACAATGCCATGCGAAGCTGCGCTATGGCATGCTATGCTAGACTATGATATGAGAGGTTATGCTGAGCTATGAAATGCTACACTATGATATGGTATGATATGCTGCGCTATGCTATGCTATAATGTGCTGTACCATGCTATGCTGCGCTGTGATATGCTAAGCAATGCGATGCTGTATTATGATATGCTATGCTGCGCTAGGCTATGCTATGATATGCTATGTCATGCCATAATATGCTGAGCTATGCTATGCTATGCTATGCTATGCTATGCTTGGCTATGCTACGGTATGCTACGATATGCTATGCTAATGCTGCGCTGCGCTATGCTGCGCTGCGCTAAGCTAAGCTACGGTAAGCTAAGCTACGCTAAGCTAAGCTAAGCCAAGCTAAGCTAAGCTAAGCTAGACTACGCTAAGCTAAGCTAAGCTAAGCTAAGCTAAGCTGAGCTACGCTAACCTAAGCTAAGCCTAGCTAAGCTAAGCTAAGCTAAGCAAAGCTAGGCAAAGCGGGGGATCCTGGGGGAACCGCGGGGCGGATGCCGGGGGAACCGCCCGGGGCGGGGAACACTGCCCGGCCCCTCTCAGCTAACGAAGTAAGAACCCTTCTGGGCAGAGCCTAGGTAGGGACAAATTGCTGCGCCTGGCGCTCAGGGCCCGGCAAGGCGCGTGCCAGCACGGGGGCCTGATGAGGCCCAGCTGGAACCGAGCACGGAGAACGGGCCCTCCCTACAGGTTCGGGGAAACAGCGCATCGTTGGGCGGTGCTGCAGCCTCCCCTGAGCACAGGCGCCCCCGAGGGAATCGGCCAGCCAGGTCGGGCTTGCACCCTCACGCCTTGCTGGGCTCTTGGTCGCTGTTTCGGCACCCCCTCCCCAAACTTCTGACGACCCGCCGGACCGCCCCAGCCCCACCCGAAGACCCGAACTTCGGGTTGGGGGGGTACGCGCTCCATATGTGTTCTTCTATGTTCCCCGACCCCCCCCTCGGGTTGGGGGGGGGGGGGGGGGGGGTACGGGCTCCATGTGTGTTCTTCCATGTTCCCCGACACCCCCCCACTGAAAACGGAAGGCAGATCGGGGCCTTCGGGGTGGGTTGGGGTGCTTTGGCGGGCGGTGAACTTTGTCAGGGAGGAAGAGGAGGCGAAGGAGGACAAGGAGGTGGAGGAGGAGGAGGAGAAGAGGGGGAGGAGGAGGCGGAGGAGAAGGAGGAGGAAGGAGGAGGAGGAGGAGGAGGC